AAAATACACGAGTTTACAATCAAATGATATTTTTTATCGAATTCCAAAAATTATCGATTTGAAAAGTAACACGGCATAACAATATTACATGTAACTTCCTTTTTAATAAAAAACAAAAAGTTTAAACTTTAAAACGTGGCAGAAAAAAGAGCGCCAACATACCTTTAATCGCGGTCGTACTAATTACCGACAACAACCGACAACTACCGTCAACAACCGACAATTACCGACAACAAGCAGACAATTACCGACAACAAGCAAACAATTACCGACAACAAGCTCAGAATTACCGACAACAAGCTCAGAATTACCGACAACAAGCTGAAAAATACCGACAACAAGCAAATACATACTTTCAATGTATTCTTATAGTTATTTGGTTGTTTTTGAGGAAACCGAAAATATATAAATTCGACAGATTTTGTCAAACATTGTTGAGTTAAAACATTCCGCGATTAAAGATGATTGGTTCGCGTAGGCAGACAGTAATTATATTTTCATTGTTTGACATCAATAAAATCATAAACAATAGGATTAACACAACATCCTGACCAAGGACAAATGTATTCATAATAGAATTCCAATTATGCAAACTATCTAAAAACTGCATAGTATGATGATGAGTCATCGACGATTTACTTCCAACGGCCTTGAATACATAAGTAGATAGGAAACAAAATTTCAAGTAGAAAATCAGCATTAACTACCCTATTATCTATAATAATATAACTACCAACTCCTATAAAGTGTGTATGTGTATACTGTATAATGTGTCTAAAATGTTTAATAGTATTTTTAATTTAGTACTACAGTACGAACAGAAACAAGCTATAAATTATTTACATCAAATTCATGTATGTACATGTATTTGGGTTTCCTCAAAAACAGCCATGCATCCATACAAATAACTATAAGAATACAATGAAAGTATGTATTTGCTTGTTGTCGGTATTTTTCAGCTTGTTGTCGGTAATTCTGAGCTTGTTGTCGGTAATTCTGAGCTTGTTGTCGGTAATTGTCTGCTTGTTGTCGGTAATTGTCGGTTGTTGACGGTAGTTGTCGGTTGTTGTCGGTAATTAGTACGACCCCTTTAATCTATGCTTTAATCGTGCTAGAAATCCGCCATCTTTAAGAAAATATCCAAAATAATGCATTGCGGTCGCAGTGCGCACACCGCCTGTGCCCAGAGGAAGTGGCGCGGAGGAGGCTAGAGCGGCTCTATGATTGGTCAAATAATTTGGAGAGTGGGAACGAGGCTGATAAAATCCAATATGGCCGATGCAAAGAGTGAAATTCATAATACTTGGGGAGAAAGAAAGTTCTGTGATATTCCTGATACATATATAAGTTCAGCTATAAAAAGTAAAGAAAGTAACGAAGACTGTGGAAAACTCTGTGAATACATAGAAAGACATTGTTTAGGCAGAGACTTTGAATTTACAGGACCGTTTGGAAAACGTAAAGGTTTGTTTTTAATATATACACCTATCAATGTTTAATAAGCCCCCAGGGGAGAGGCCGGGGATATAGGTGGGGATTAGACATTTTGAAGAAAACTTTGAGCTAATGCCCCAA